CGCCCCGTCGCTCCCCGTCGCTCTGCCCGGTGTCCGAGCTCCAGCACCCCGACCCCCGGCCCCACTCACACGTCGGTGAAGCTGCGGCCCCCCAGCAGCGAGGCCAGGCTGCTCACGGTGTCGGGCTCCCGGCAGAGCAATATCCCGGCCCCGGGGCAGCGGCAGGAGCGGGGGCAGGCACCGGCAGCGCCCGGGGCTGCCAGGGACAGCGGCAGGAGCAGCGCGGCCAGGCAGAGCCAGGCGGGCAGCGGTGGCATCGCGGGGCCGCTCCCGGTGCCGCTCCCGGTGCCGGTGCCGGTGCCGGTGCTGCCGGTGCCGCCCTCCCTCGCACTTGCCGGGCAGCCCGAGCACGGGGCCGTGCGGGGCTTAAAAGCAACGCACGGACCGGCCTCCCGGGAGGGGCCGGCGGCTCCCCCCGCCCCGGCACCGCCCCCGCCCCGGCCCCAGACCCCCCCGGCCGTGATTCACCGGCACCGGGAAGGCTCCGAGCCGGGACAGGGGGATTCCTCACGCTGGCACCGAGCATGGAGCCCGTCCGTGCCCTGCCCGTGCCCTGCACGCTGGCACCCTACACCGGCACCCCCAGCCCCACCAAGCGCATCCATCCCACCAGTGGAACCCCCAAAATTCCCGGGGGACACGCAGACGCCACACCCGCTCCAGAACCCGGCTCGGGGCGGGCTGCAGTGGAAGGGACAGGGTTTATCAGCAGCCCGGGGGCCACCTGCAGTCCCCCAAGCTGTCACACCCCCCGGCCGTGCCCCCAAATCCCGAGGCGTGACGGCCTCGCCCGAATCAAGCCCTTCCCCGGCACCCCGTTCTGTCGGGGCGCAGAGATGCTGGAGACGGGGGGACGTTTGGTGGCACGGTGGCCCTGTCCCCAGCTGTCCCCTCCCACCAGGACCCACCTCGTCCTCCTCCCCGAGGTGGGGCAGGACAGGACAGGGCTCCCCATCCCCACCCGGACGCTGTTTTGTCCCCGAGCTTGCTGGGAATCACGTCGGGGGGGGTCTCATCCCAGCGCTGAATTCTGCACTTTCTCAGCCCCGCACCCTTCCCCCTATGTCTCATCTCCACCTCCAGCCCCCAGCGGCACCCACGGGGCCTCGATTCCTTTGGGGTCACCTCCCGTGGGGCCCCACTGGACACCCCAGCACCCCCCCCGGCAGAGCGGGCTAGCGGCTGTCGCCACATCCTCCTGAATTCCACTGCTTTGACGTTTTTCTCTAGAAACGCCCCCGGTTTGGGCACCGCAGGGCAAAGCCACAGGACGCAGATAGGGCTGGGGGGGTGGGGAGTGGGAAGCCCCTTGTGCCGCCCCCCCCGCGACACCCCCCCCAAGCCAGGCACTGCCAGAGCTGAGCTTCATCCCCTTTATTCCCGCTCAGATTAGGCAGTGACGCCCCTTCCGTGCACCAGCACGGCCTCTGGGAAGAGACATCAGGGCAACCCCAGGCTTCTCTGAGTCCCGTGACTCAGTTTCCCCACCTGGGAAAGGTGTGGGGATCACAGGGGTGGCTGACCTGGGGAACGATGACAGGGGCAGGTTGATGGGGGACCCCGAATGCCAAACCCTGCTACCCATTCCCATACCCACATTATCCCACCCCCCTGAAAAAAAGTAAGGAAAAATGGGTGTTCTCCTCCCAACCAGCAGCCCCCCACTCCCTCCCACTGACTCGGAGCACCCCCAATTTATTTTCAGGGGAAATGCATCCCATGGAGCATCCTTGCCTTGCTGCCACCCTCCTCCCAAGGCACACACTCCTTGGAAGCAATAAATAATGCGGGGGGGAGGGTCCCAGCAAGTGGGGGGCGGCTGGAGAGGGGCGTGGGGTGCAGAGTCCAGCGGGGCTCCGAGGACACCCCGGGTCAGAGCGAGGCTGTCCCGTTGGGGAGCTGCCCTGGGCTGTGGTCCCTGCGTGCGGGCAGGGGGGACGCGGGGGGCTCGTCCTCCTCGGGGGGCGGATCCGTCTCGGTGCTGGAGGGCTCTCCCGAGCCGTGGTGGCCGTTCTCGGGGCTGTAGAAGAAGGAGAGGGTGCGGAAAGCAGGCGCCATGTGGTCCTTGATGCGCTCCAGGAGCTGCACGAAGGAGGGGCGCTGGCGCGGGTTCTGCTGCCAGCACAGGCACATCAGCTCGTGGCTGCGGAGAGAGGGCACCCGCTGGCTTTGGGGGGCTCCCAACAGCCCTGCCAGCAGCGCAGAGAGCAGGATTTCCCCTGGCAGCCTCTCCCGCAGCAGGGTGGGGGTGTGAGGGGCTGTCCCCCAGCACTCACAGCTCGTCGGGGCAGTTCTCGGGCCGCTCCAGGATCCCGTTGTCCATGACAAAGCGCAGGACCTGCTCGTTGGACATGCCCTGGTAGGGCTGCTCGGCCAGCGTGGCGATCTCCCACAGCACCACCCCGAAGGACCTGCCAGGGCACCGCTGCTCAGCCGGGGAGGGGTCCCCAAATCCCCCCGGCTCTGCCCACCCCAGCACCCACCAGACGTCAGACTGCGTGTTGAAGATGCCGTCCTTGAGCGCCTCGGGGGACATCCAGCGCACCGGGAGCAGCCCCTTGCCCCCTTTCCGGTAATAATCCGTCTCGTAGATATCCCGGGTCATGCCGAAATCTGGCCGAGGAGGAAGAGGAGGAGGAAGGTGTGGGCAGCAGGAGACAGTGGCACCGCCACTGTTGCCCTTTGCTGACCCAGGGATGGGGCAACTGAGAGGTGTTTTAAAAACTTCGATTCTATTTTCAGTCTCATGAGAAGGGTGAGACAATACAGATGTTATAATTCATGCCATTACAATCAGAAGCTAATGATTTCTTAATTACAATATACTATAAGTGTTTCTTGGCCTATCAGCTTTAGCTACACCATGTTGTAAATGCCTTACAGTAATCATCTAAAATTACTCTTTGTGGGTCCTGCTACAATGCATCTTTCATAGTTCTGTTTCTCTAAAGTATCTCGTCTTGTTTGTAAGGCTATCTTTTGAAACTTGGTTCTAGTTCAATTTTTCTCTCAACAATGTCTGTCTTATTCTATGGTATCTCTAAGGCAGTATCTTATCTTATCTGAAGGTTTGTATACAGATGCACACGATGTGAGTCTTCTCAGAGAATTCACAGAATTCACAGAATCACTGGGTTGGAAGAGACCTTCAAGATCATCGAGTCCAACCCAGCCCCAACACCTCAACTGAACCCTGGCACCCAGTGCCACATCCAGGCTTTGTTAAACACCTCCAGGGATGGTGACTGCACCACCTCCCCAGCAGCCATTCCAGAACTTTATCACTCTTTAAATGAAAAAATCTCTTTCCTAATATCCAACCCTTGGTGAAGCTTAAGGCTGTGTCCTCTGGTTCTGCCAGTTCCTGGAGAAAGAGACCAACCCCACCTGACCACAACCACCTTCCAGGAAGTTGTAGAGTGATAAGGCCACCCCTGAGCCTCCTTTTCTCCAGGCTAAACACCCCCAGCTCCCTCAGTGGATCCTCTCAGGGTTTGTGTTCCCAGCCCCTCTCCAGCCTCGTTGCCTCCTCTGGATGCACTCAAACATCCTTCCCAAACTGAGCGGCCCGGAACTGGACGCAGTTTTGTCACAGTCTGAGAATTTTCTGTACGTTTCTCACTCCCACCTCCAATCTTGACGGTGAAGTCCTCGGACACCATGCAGTTGCGGGCGGCCAGGTCCCGGTGCACGAACTTGTTGGCGCTGAGGTAGGCCATGCCGTCGGCGATCTCGCCCGCCATCTGGATCATGTCCTTCAGCGACGGCGGGGGCAGCCCCGGGTTGTTCTGCACCGTGCACAGAGTCAGGGCCGGGGCAGGGCCACGCCAGCACCCCGCTGGAGCAGGGTGAGTGTCCCTTCTCCTGGCACCTGACCAGCCCCTCACCTCGGCTTCGGGCCTGAGTGAACGCAGGTAGCTCTTCAGGTCCCCACGTGTCATCAGCTCCATGATGACCAAAGCTGGCTGGCCCTGGGATACCACGCCAAGCAGACGGACCTGCAGGGACAAAGAGGGCTGGCGTGTCAGTGGCCAGACCTGCCATGTCCCCTCGCTCCCCCTCAGCTGCCCACCTACCACGTGGTGGCACTTGAAGGCTTTCATGACGGAGGCCTCGTTGAGGAACTCGATGCGCTCCCGCATGGTGGCCAGCTCGTTGACTGTCTTCAGGGCCACCTTGGTCTCCTCTCCCTCCGTGACCAGCCCCAGCGCCACCCCCTCATACACCATCCCAAAGGAGCCCTGTCCCAGCTCCCGGATCACTGTGATCTTCTCCCGGGACACCTCCCACTCATCAGGCATGTACACTGTGGGGTGAGTGGGGATCACGCCGTCCCTGTCACTGCGACTAACCCCATCCACATCCCCATCCTCATCTCCGTGTCATCACCATCCTAGTCCCTGTCCCCATTCCCATCTCCATCCCATTCCTGTCCTTGTCTCCATCCTCATCCTCATCTTCATTCCCATCTCCATCCCATCACCATCCTCCTCCCTGTCCCCACCCCATCCCCATCCAATTCCCATTCCCATTCCCATCTCCATCCCATCATCTCCATCCCATCATCTCCATCCCATCACCTGCATCCCATCACCTGCATCCCATCACCATCCTCCTCCCTGTCCTCATTCCCATTCCCATCTCCATCCCATCATCTCCATCCCATCATCTCCATCCCATCATCTCCATCCCATCACCATCCTCCTCCCTGTCCCCATCCCATTCCCACCTCCATTCCCACCTCCATTCCCCTCATCTCCATCTCCATCCCCACCCCGATACTCATCTCTATCCCATCCCATTCTCACCCCACCCCTTCCCCATCCCCTCCAGCCTGACCCCAGCACAGAAGGGGCTCGGTGGCCCTTTGGGGTGGCCCTGCCTGTCCCCACGTCCCCACGTACTGTCCGAGGCGCTGAAGTACTCGGGGTTGACGGAGGCGTAGAGCGTCCCGCTGGGATACCCGTCATGGTTCCTGCCAGGGGTGGGCAGCGCTGGGAGCTGCTGCCTCCCCCCAGCCCTTCCCAGGCCTGGTTTGGCCAGATCCCACCCCAGCGCAGCCCTGGTGGGGCAGGGGGGTCGCTACCTCTTCTTGTTGTAGAAGAAGACAAAGACGGCCAGGCAGGAGATGAGCACCATGAGCACCACGGGCGTGACGGTGAGCAGGACGTAGAAGCTGCTGGACTCTTCCTCGGCTGCCAGGAGCAGGTGGCCATGGATCAGGGTCTGGACACTGATCCCACCTCACATGGGACACCACCAGTCCAGCTCCCCAGACC